AAGTGTAGGTCCCTACCTACCCTTAAAAATATATATAGACATAGACCCTCTATGCACCTGTTTCCCACTTTCCATTTTCGACCATTTAACGGTCCACCTTAGAAAAAAGATCAAAAACAGTAATGTTGGTATACTCAAGCGTCCAAAACTGAAACACATGGCAACCTGGGTATACTGATTACCCTAACATACACACATTAATACGATTAAACAAAGCCTTAATTCAAAACCAACTAGTAAATCTAAAGGTTGCAGCGGACAGCATCACACGTATTAACAAAAAAGTAGTAAGATGCCAATACTTCGAAAATTAGTTTCTAATTATTCTTAGTTAATTTTGGTCTCGCGGCGCATGGCCTCGGCCGATCCCGTGCATCGCCTTCCATGCGAGGGACATCGCTGAGTTTTAGTGGGTAAACTCCTGTTTCTTGTCTAGCGCCTTCGGGGGTAGCGCCACAGGAGGAGTCCCACATAACCCGTGGAGTCCGCGCTGGGTGAAACGGGTATGCGTAAAGCATTTCTCAGCGTCAAAAAGGTCATTTTGGTCTACTTTTTGTTTTTGCAGCTAATTGATGACCTCTATTATATTAGATTTTAACGTAAATTTCATTACTAAACTACTAAAATGAGGTGGTCGAATTATATTAAGAACTAGCTGTGCCCGCAACTTCGTCTGCGTGGGAAGTATTTTGGTAGAATTCTTTTATTCCTATGGATGGAGTCGAATCGAATAAGATCAATGGGCAATAACCCACTATGCGGGCTTAATGCGGATCGGTGGGTGTTAACGTTGCTAATGCAGCCAGGACTAACGGCTTAACGTACATTGTGCCAGTGTTGTGTACAGTGCTCAGGATAATAATGTTTTGGTCACCCATCCTGTCTTTACGAATGTAATTTTCTATCTCTTTTCTTGTTTTCGCGCTCTGGTTGTCGTTTGTGTCTGAGAATTTTATTCATACCTTGAAACTGTCCTTCTTTTGTTTTTAATCTTTTTAAATTATTATTATTTGTCTAGTTGTATGCACAATCGGCTATTTATTGTTCTTTTTTCCATGTAATGCTAGGTTGTCTGGAAGAAATCGCTTGCTAGCGATGAGTTTGTCGTTTGTACTTAGTTACGTAAAATAAGTATTCATGTATGTCCTTATTGTGCAGTATTTTACTTATTTATTTCATTGCAATTTAAATCGAATGCGCTAACCCACTACGCCATCGGACCTCTTATACCTAAGATTTACTAATAATAACAAACATTTGCCCAAAAACTACCGGACCGATAGTTTCAGAGCGATTCTATCTACGGGAAGTTACATCACGGATGTCATAGGCTATAATTTTGCGACAAAATCGCGGGAAGACAGCTAGTTCATTATACCTTGTGAAAACTTATCTGCGGTGCTCCTGTGGAGTATGAAGGCAACACGGGTTGGCGATAATCGAAACTACTTTCTCGATCTCTATTGTGCAAACTGCGAGCTCTTTCAGAGACCAAGCGCATTTCTCTATGAAAGGAAGTTTCATACTCATACCATACTGCATGTATATTACGATCAGCAGTTAGACGCGCTATGCGATCTTCAGAAGTTTTCTGAGATCAAACGCTTGTTGTATGAGTTCTCCGAGAGCTCAAGAGATTGTCCCTGACAGTAAATGCTTCAGATTCAACTTTATAGTGCATGAGCCTGGCGATAGGCAGTTAAATACGTTGCACGTTTTTCAGGCGTCTCCCGAGACCGAGCGCTTTCCGTCCGCTCTCTTTCTTTGTCAATAAAAGTCGGTCGGTACATGTCTGAAGGAAGATACGTGGAGTTTTATTTATTGATATAAAAAAATATATGCATATTTTAATTTCGACTTTCCACACTCGAAGGAAATCGTCTACCAACACCTCTCGGAAGTATGAGAGGTGCTTAACTGAGCTTCCGTCAGATTTGAACGGCCCTCATCATCATCAGCTCTTTTACGTCACCAACTGCAGGAGCCTTATGGATTAAGGAGAATGGGCCACGACCCTCCATGTTTGCCCTATGCGGATTGGATGATATTAACGACTGCAAATACAACCGGGACCAATCGCTTTACGTGCTTTCCGAAGCTTGGAGCTGCTTGAGATAATATTTTTGGGTCACCCATCCTGTGACCGACCTTTGCGAAAGTTGTTTAACAACTGTAATCGCGGGCCATGACGCTCATTTACTACGCCACCGAGTTACTCTAAACCGACCCTCAGACTCCGTGATATTATATGAGTGTTGTGGCCAATGAATAAACCATTGTTATCAGCGAAGTCTGAAAATACCAACTTTGAAGTACGTATCTACAGCAATTTGTATGTTAAAAAAAAAACAAAAATAATATTAACATAAAAAATTGTAATAAGAGTAAAAAATATATATAACTCGAGTTGTTTTTACGTTCTTAACTTCAGTTGACGTGAGTCTAACTTTTTTAACGTCGTGGAAAAACTTATGACATTGTCTCTGTTACCTGGCAAGCAACAGGGGTGAGAAGGATTCTCCTCCGTGAATCCGACAGTGAGCTGCCCAGTAGGTCCCCAGAGGCCTACCCACCAAAACACGTACGCTACACCCTCTCATGGGAGACGAAATCCGGCAAGCTATGACCGAGCCACCAGGACACTCAAGTATTGGACCATTGGTCCCATTGCAGATGAAATTAGAGAGGCTTGGGTAAATCAAGTGCCTCTCCCAGACAGACGAAACCGTGCAATCCGGGAGCGGCTGCCAACCACCTCCGCTGGCCCCGACGACGACGTGAACCTAATCTGATAAAAATATGCGTTCACTGTAAACTACTCGAGGCTTAATTGCATCATCAGAAGGCTCTTTCCGCTTGTTCTCCTACTCGCGTGTACGTATACCACACGTCTATTATAAGCTGAACCCTATTTAATATGATTGGCCTTATGGAAATGAGGTCAACATACTTCGAGTAGTCAAAATTTTGGAATCTTATTTTTTTATTTGTCTTCATACAAATTTTCATTTTTTAGACAATATTAATTCGTAGCTCGGTGGCGCTACGGATATGCTCCGCTGCGCACGATCGCTATTGCTAAGCAATTTTCGCAAGAGTTGTGTACGGGATGGGTGACCAAAAATTATTAAACAAAGGCCTGAGATGATGATCAATATATCAAAGACGAAAATTTAATAAAACAGTAAATATTTCATAGCAATTTTGGCGACCACGTCACTTCAAATTGACATAACTTTTTTATTTGTTAACCGATTGAAATAAATCTTACACTAAATGTTAACGGAAGAATGCCGCAACATAATAGTGAAAACTGCATTTAAATAGGTTCAGCCGTTTCTGAGATTATCGTGCACAAACGCACAGACAAACAGACAAACCGACAAACAGACAAAAAATTTAAAAATCATTGTTTTGTATTCTTTTACGTTTATAAATGTCCCTTATAACATTTCTTTTCATATATCTTCAATGTACAGACATCGATCGGTTACGTTTTTATTATAGTATAGATAGATAATTAGCTGTAAAATGTATGGAACATTTTTAAATCTAATTACATACTGTGAGCTCTAGAGACCATTATTAATCAATGGTCAGGTTTAGTCCGATTTTTTTTTTTATATTAACTGATTATAATGTCGTCCTCGTGTAGAAATAAAGACCTGTGCTGAACTACATAAGTTACATAAATGATAGATTTATGTGATTATATATATTTTTATGAGACCTGATCAGTTAAATAAACAAATTTTAAAATGACTCTAATCATAATAAATAAAAGAATTTAATGTTAATGGTTAATTGGTCTTTTATTTTCTAAGTGAACTGATTATTTATACATTTATAATGCTTTGTTCTGAATGACTGAATGATGAATCAACACACAGCTTAAACTGCTGATCGAAGAGGCCTGAATTTTGTGGGATGTGTTCTTTATAGAACATTATTGTCCTGTAAGAAAGAATTTCCCGGAATTCTATCCCTTGGGAGTTTTTGAGTATTTTTGGACGAAAATCGGCAAATCTGCATTTTCATGTTAGAATTCAATCATAAAAAAAAACTATTAATCTGAGTTTTAAAAACTATTTTTCGGGTACAAAATACTTGACAAAACATTCATATTTTCATGCTCAAAGTAGATAAATCCACTAATTGGCGAAAACAGGCTTATCCTCCTAAATGTAAAGTGGGGATGACAATTTTTTTTTCGTCTTCGTCTTAGTGTGGGGCATCATTGAATAGGTATTTCAAAAACATTGGTGATGTGGGATGGCTTATTTTTAATTTTGACTAATCTTTTTGGGAGTTATTAAGCTTTAAAGAGCTAATTTTTGTTACAATTGAGCCAATCAAACATAACGGCAGTAGCACCTATATATAACGAAATCAAAAGGAAACTATCACACTTAAGTTAGTTTTATAAGTTTACTCATAAAATTCGACCAATTGTATTTAACTCAAAATTTTATTAAACATGATTTTTTTTTCTTTTTTTACGGAATCCTTTGTACAGAATGAAGGAGCTTATTATGGGGATTATTATTTAAGAAGATAAATGAAATTTGATTATTCACCCTTATTTAAGTTTAAGATCTAAAAAATCAATCTGTATTGTGGTGCCTACTGAACTATCCAGAACAAAATAACAATTTGCTTATAGAACTACACCAGGCTTCATCAATTCTTAGTTCATACTCTTGAAACAGGCTGAATACTTACTCAATGTTGATTGGTTCATCCAATAACAAAGAGCTAATTGGTACTAGTGTACCAATCGAGAATGCAAAATGTCACAACTGCAATGTCCATCAATCATTGAACAAGAGTAAGGCTCCAGTCATGGTATGGAAATTTAATATACATTATTTATAATATATCAATATATTTCATGTCTATTTACATACATCTAAAAACTAGATAACTACATAATAAATAAATCATATGCTTAACTTTACATTAACATTTCACATGGTGATTTTCACAAATACACTTAATTTTCAAACTGTCTTTAGAACACCTTTTTCTTCCAATTCCTTTTCTACTATAGTTCCTTCATGCAAAATTTTATCCTTCAAAGCTTCCTGTAATAACTGAGCATCAAACTTTTGTTTTGACCATTGGTATCTACAATATGACCAATACATTAAAGTTGACAGCGAGAATGTCCCAAAACCAATATGCTGCGCTAACATTGGCTTAGAAGTTTTTAAAAATGCTATCAATCCCACACCAACTCCAGATGAAACTCCATACAAGAAACTTTCTCTGAAGCAAGGTATTTTTGAGACATCTCTACCGAATATCACTAAACCCTGCAATGAAATCGAGGTATAATAATAGACTAATCTTTTACTGGGAAATAATCACACATAGAAATTACTTTACCAAAAACATTTTACCTTTTTCTCGTCTTCAGAATCCTCTTCTAACATACTTTTGACAACTGTATCCATTTTGCATGAATAAAAAACAACGACTTTAACTAAAAAAGCTGATATCCCAGATAATATAAACGTAAATAATATAATTATTGCCGTAAAAGTAAGCCGACAGCCGTGATAATCAACCAAACTATATAATTGCTATATAATCTGTGATTGTCAATATGACACATGCTATCCATGGTGTATCCATGCTATCTTGCTTTTTTTTATTGAGCTTAACGGCTCTGCCATACATTATTATAGTTTAAGAATGAAATTAAATCTTGACTATAGTATGAGGAAGTATTTAAAAAAAAGGAATGCACTTAGAAAGCACCTCCACTAGATGGCGACTCTAGCAAAAGTTGATTTTTGCAGGAAACGAATGGACCACAGAAATTACTCATTTCCGTTCTTTTACTAATATATTAAAACACTGAAATTTGAAAAGTTCGAAACTTAGATATCAATACAAATACAAAAATGTACAAATAGAATATGATATGTAACTTTCGAACTATGCAAATTTAAGTTTTTTTAATATGTTAATTAAAAGGAACGGAAATAACTATCTTTGGGCCAATCGTTTCCTGCAAATTTCAATTTTTGCTAGAGTAGCCATTTAGTGGAGGTGCTTTTTAGTGCTTTATTTTTTTTCTTAAATACTTCCTTATTAGTTTGTTAAGTTAAAACGGCCATAAATCTGGACGGCTAGAGTCTGGCAAGCGAAACGTGTCACAAGAAAAGGGCGGCAATTTCAAAAATTCTTAAGCAGTAAACACTGAATGTAGTACTGCAAAATAATTTTGATACTTTTATTAATTATATTTAATCTTAACATTTAGATATCAATTAAAATTATTTGTTTTGGAACATTTGACTAAAGCGTGACTGTTCTTAATTGTACAGTTAACAGCATATCAGTAGGCCTATTCACTAACTCAACTGACAACCAAGAATCGTCATCACCGTAAAAAATAGACACTTTGATTGTGTCAAAATCACTATTTCGTATTCTCTATCAATGATGAGCAATTTCGAAATGTCAATATCGGCATTCTCCACTGGACTCCATTTTGACACTTGATTTCGTATCGATAAACTGTATTAAAGTAACATTGTTGCAAAGCATATTTGAAGTCGTCGCATAGTACCTCTTAAGCCATTTGTTGTTAAATTAAAGCGAAAAAAAATACGTATCCAATATTTTTCTATTATCTGACTGACGGACTAAATCGAATCTTTTTTTTAACCCATTCGTTATACCTATTGGCTAACAGCACTTATAATATTAAAAATTCATATTTGTCATTAATTAAAAGGGTGTTTTTTGCAACGACTTCTTTGTTTTTTTGTAATGAATATGGGCGACTCTGGCCACATTTTTTTAATAAATGTGATGTTAGCCAATTTTGATTTCTGGCCCTTATATTTATAATGTGTTCATAACACATACATGTCTCCTAAGGGATTTTCATCACAACCTTTTGCTCTGATCCAGAACCACTATCTATCAAATTAAATTAGTCAATATAAACACCAGATTACAATAAAAAAAACATTTATTTTTGTTACAATTAAGTGCCATGGATAAATTACATAATACAGGTGTCACAAAATCATCATGTTAATCACAATAGAAAATTTAAGATAAGATTTTGACTATGAATCAGACTAAAAATACTTTAGTCTGATTCATAGTCAAAATCTGTTTCTAAATATTCTACACCTGATAACAATGACAAGGAATCATCAGAGTCACTCTCTTCACTACTGTCTGCACCAACAGATATAATAAATTTTTCAAGTTCGTTTTCAACAATGCCATCTTTTAATTTGTAATCATTTTCGACATTTAAAACATGATCAGTGTATTTCTTCCAGTCACTAGGGGTAATTAAGTTAAAACACTCTATTATTAAGTTTTCCATTTCCTTTCCTGGTATTCCAATGTTTCTGCTTGCAATTTTTCTTTTTGCTTGACTCCAAACCATCTCTATTGGGTTTAAGTCACAATGATACGGTGGCAGCAATAAAAGTTCATGATTATGTTCTTTTAAAATCTCTTCAGCTTCATATACAGGCAATGTTTTCTTATCATTAACCAAACACATTAACTCTGCCTTTGTCTGATATTCCTCAAAATGTATTCCATTATTTACAAGCCATTTACGGATATCTGCTTTGGTATTAGACATTATAGGCGGTTTATTGATTTGTTTTATATGGTAGCTGGCATTATCCATAACAATTACACTGGGCTTACTTAAATTTGGTATTAATTTTTCTCTGACCCATTTCATAAAGTTCGATGAGTTCATATCATCATGATAATCAGCAGATTTGGATTTACTACTGAACACTAATAATGCACCAGGCACAAAACCTTCCTCAGATCCAGCATGCACAACAATATGCCGTTTTCCAGAGGATATCTTTGTAGTGACACCAGTTGTTGAAGGTCCTTGCCAAGACTTTTTAACTTTATAATTCTGATGTACATAAGTTTCATCAAGGTACACAATTTGCTTTCCTTCGTTTCGTTTTATATTTATTTCTCTCAAATACTTGTGCCTCCATGCAGAAATCTGGTATTTTTCTATAAGCATAGAACGTTCATTTTCATTGCTTTTAAAAGAAAATCCATTCTTAAGCATAATTTTTCGTAAAGTCTCACGGCTACCACTGAATCCTATTGCATCTTTTAATTCATTGTGAAGGCTTCTTAATGTTGGAACAATTTTTTTCACACAGTAAAATTCATTTACTTTATTCCGAATTGCACTTAAATCAAAATTATCTAAAGCAGACACTGTTGGTTGATGAGGTCGTTTTTTCCCAGGAGTGTCCCATTTTCCTTTATTAATTAATGCTTCATTTTTTATCCTTCTTAGTGTCCTTATACTTACATCTATAAAAGATTAAACACTTTGAAACAAAGATATGTTAAATGTATTTAAAAGCAAATAATGATAGACACATACATCAAAATAATTTAAATACCTATTCAACTATGAATGCAATTTATGTTTAATTTAGTTAAGTTTATGTGCATATTTAGCATGTATAACAATTACATGGTTTGATTAGTTTCATGAATTCTGTGAATTTCCTTGTTAAACAAAACATTCTTATGACATCATTGGATGTCAACAATAAAAACCAATACATCATAAAAAACCTATGTAAATATTATAGGAATACTATCAATCTATCTTAAATCAAAACAAGAAAAGAGACCTGTCATTGAAGAAATTTTTTGTAAGTACTGCGTTTCCGAATTCAGCATTTCTTGTTTTTCTAAAGTTTTTATTGCATTTATCTCCTCCATTATTGGTTGAATATCACCATCACAGTTATCTGAAATAGAGCAATATTTTATAAAAAATATCTGTTTAGTTAATTACAGAAAATTAAAACGAAAGTATCAAAATTATAATACAAAACTAACCTAAAAAGATACAACTTTATCTAATCGTTGTAATTTCTCCATGAAATTTTTATTTAATTCAGTTTTCACTTCAGTAAACTTGTCAATCATGATGGAAAGAAGTTTCCTCGATGAACTTTTTATCGGCTTCGACATAATTTTTAACCAAAAACACAAGTTCAAATTCGCAAAAACAACAAAATTCAATATTCTTGAATTGTCTAACGTAGTGTCAAACTGACAGTTCTACGTTGTTGCCATATGAAAACGGAAAAATAGGTGGTGTCACGTTTCGCTTGCCAAACTCTAGCCTTTTGATTGATTGGGTATATTTAACGGCAATTTATAATGTTTTAAGGAAAAAAAGTAACGTTACATGAAGAAAAATATAATTAATTAAAAGTAGTAATGCACAATGATTACAGATTTTAATACACCAATGAAACTGTTTGTAATCATCCCAATAATACAAATATTTTTACTTAATATAAATCGAACACATGACCTCCAACTTCTTCTAAATACAGTCACTATATTAATTCTTACGTTAGGAATAAAAGAATAAATCCAAATATTTATTTATTCTTTAAAGCCTAACGTAAGAATTAATATAGCGACTGTATTTACATATAGTCTAGAATTATCCTAAAGCTTCATACGAATGTACTTATAGAATGGATAAGCGTCGCGGCCTGCTGATATTGTTGTTAAGCAACTTTCGCAAGGATAGGTCAAAAAAATATATATTTCGAGCTTCTCTGTGCTTCAGAAGGCAAGTCTTAAGCTCGCCCGTCTGCATTTGTAGACGTTAATATCCTCCAATCCTTATTGGACCAGCGTGGAGGGCTATGGTCAATTCTCCATAACCATTCATAAGGAACGCTTGATTCTTTGCAGTAGGGACGTAAAAAGGGCTAACGATAACGAGGAGAAAGAGATGTCATCCCCTGATATTACTTTACTTTTCGGAACACTTTTGAGGTGCTAACGTGTACCTCAAAAGTGTTCCAGTTTAGTATACAAGATTCTTGGTAGAATTCTCTATTTAACTCGAGCGACGCCCTACTCGAGTTAACTTGGCAACGATGAGACGTATTAGGCCAAACACCTACCGAGTCTTGCAAGTACGAGTACGCCAAAATACTTACTTTATAAACCTATTCCACTAGTATTCAGAAGTACACGTTTTTAATGGGGGAAGCATTTAAAAAAATACATTAGTTCCCGAAATCAAACTAGATGTCGCTACGGTACGTTCTTAATTTCTCCAAGACAACCCCTCCGGTTTTCTTTCATGTTTAAAAGTAAATTAGTTTCAAAACTTAATAAACATCTTATATTCTATTTGTACTTTTTCGTATTTGTATTGATATCTAGGTTTCGAACTTTCCAAATTTCTGTTTTTTAATATGTTAGTTAAAAGGAACGCAAATGGCTTTGGTCCATTCATTTCCTGCAAAAATCAACTTTTGCTAGAGTCGCCATTTAGTGGTAGTGATTTTTTAGTGCTTTCTTTTTTTTTTTAATATTTGGGGGTTGCGTACTGCGTTCAATTCACCAGAATATTAAATATCAACTTCAACTTGGATGGTTTGGACGT